TTGAAGCTGGCTGATGGGTACATGGGAGTTCTTTGTACTATTCTATGTTTTTATTATGTTTGAGATTTTACATAGTAGAAGAATTTTTTAAAAGAAGTGTGTTGCTTAATTATGCCAATTTATATTGATTAACTTTTCCCTTGGTCTCCATTCCCACAATTGCCACATACAATGAACATGGCTGAAACATCTACCATATTGATCTTGAGGAGGTTCCAATCAGTTGGCTAGACAATGCAGAGGTCCCATTATTTATGATGGAATAAATTGATTAACTCTGCCATGACCCATAATTTAATCATTCAGCAAAAGACAGGGATGCCTAAATTCAGATTAACCAAAAAGAAATGGTTTGGATAAATTTCAGCTGTCATAATAACCAGTAGACAGTGCTACATGGCTAATCCAATTTGGTCATTGTGGTGGCCAGGCCATCACTATTACAGAGGACATTAGGGGATCTGCTGAAGTGTCAGTGAGACAATCTGCATTTTTTTTTTTTTTTGCTTTGTCCCAAGGGCAATGAGATAGAAAAAAATTAACAATTATAGCCTTCAACTCCTAGAAAGAGAATTTGCTCAGCCTGTGTTGTGAGAGGATTAAGATTAAAATAGAAATGGTTAACACAATGTCTATTTTAGAATGGCCACATGGGTTTTTTTTCTATCCTGTTCACTTAATTTCCCTTTTTCCATTCTCTTAGTCATAAGCAGAATTCTGGTACATTTAATTAAATTAATTCCAACAATTTCACACGTAAGTGGACCTCACATAAAAGCAGAGTGTGTTCAATATTACAATCAAATCTTTAAAGTATTACAAACAATAGATCTTCTCAATATACTGCTAAGGATGTAGCTGCCTGTTGATGTTAATTTCATTAACTCACTCGTGATACAAATAAATTCTGTTTAAAAGAAAAGCTTTAATAATGAATATATCACAATTAAAATGACCCACGGATACTAAGCATTGCACACTGCCACCTAGTGCTAAATATCTCTTTAACTCCAAATGCACAATGGACATCTTCAGGAAAGTGGAAATGCTCTATTTTAAAGCAAATTTATCCAGAAAGACAGATCTGAAACACAGTTCAGATAAAATGGCTAATGGAAATAAATGAAATTATACATACCATAAAATCAGCCCTGTCTCATAAATTCAGGTACAAAACATCTGATTAGATTAGTAAATATAAAAAGTTACAGGTTTTGTTAATGAAGACATGAAATATTTTTTTTTTTAGAGGGAGGAAGAATTGCTCCTTTAAGGGCAGTGTTACCTCCATCTCTTTGAAATCATTAATTTAGATAATCCCCAAAGGAATCTCCCATCAAAGCCACATGATCTAGAAAACTCAAGATTTCCTTTAATCAGCTTAACCAAATGACTACTGCCAAGTCTATTTCACTGGGTTCTGTACAGGGCTATTTTGAGGCCTCCATCACACAATTAGAACACCTAGTTGGAATGGCTGCCCAATGCAGAAGACAGAACTTACTCAAAATATTTCAATTTAAGAAACTCAGCTTGGAAAACATGATTGAAGAAAACATATACATTAAAGTCCAACTCTTTATATTACGTTGAGATTACATCTATCATGACAGTTCAATGTTTGCTAAAATTATGAAGTCAATTGAAAAAAGTCTCAAGTTACAACTCCTAGATATTCTATTGGCCTTATGGTATACCACCTATAACAAGGTACTTCTAGAAAATAAGACAGCAGTTATAACTGTGTCTTATATAAGAAAAATCGCACTGCAGTTGCAGATATATATATACAACATAGTTATAATAATAAAACTTCATAACAAGTTTTAAAATGCTCCTATTAATCTACAAGGTAGTGAAAATGTATAAAGTGAATGAACTAACAAGTCTTGATTCAGATGACAATTATGCCTGAGACTCTGAAGATGCCTTAAAATTTTCTTACACATCTTAATGTGTTTTCTGGGTACATACTGCATTTAAAGTTTTGGAAAACAAAGGCTATGTGCATCTTGCACACAAAAATGCAATCATGGCATCATCATTTGGATTTATCTAAAAATAAATGTTTAAACTGAAATCATTTGCTTAATAATCTCATTTCGTAAACCTGAATATGAAAGTATGTACGTATATTAATGAGTGAGTCCTAAGGAGCTCTATAATCCAGAATTTCTAACTCAACCTAAAAAAGTAGTAACAAAATGGCCTATGAAGCAGATTCCCTCAGGCTTAGAAAAATAGATAGGACATGTTGAAAAATTAAGGTACAGAACACAGAAGAGACAGATACAGCTTTCAACTGAACATCAACACTTAACTTGAGATTATTTAAAACAGCACAATTTTAGCTATTAAAATCCTCATGGTTGTGAAAGACAAGAATTTATTCCATACAGATTACAAAAACTATGCTATTTGAATATCTAATATTAGTACTTGCTGGGGATTGCTCACTGTGAAATAAGAAAATATAATAGATATTCAGGAAGCATTTTACTCACTAATTATGATTCCATAATTTCTTTAACTTTGTATTCTCAGATGTCAGGTACTTACCCAGAAACTGACATCCATTTGGTTGCTAAGAGATATGAGATCAGTTTGCACTTTATTCTCTTTGCACTTTATTCTCCGTCTTTAAGAGAACTGCCCTCTTGGGTTTTGCCTCAAAGTAGTGAAAGTTAACTCTGTTACCCATGTGGGGATTTATATTACTCGTACTAGAAGGTACTCCCAGGTCACAGAAAAGAAATGAATTACTTTCAATTTGCACAATTTAGAACAAATACATGGCTTTTCCCTAAGCTTAATGATTTTCCATTTCACACAACTAAAATATAATAGCATTATTTTAAAATCAAATTTAACTGATGAGTCTATGTTATAGAGTGTTTTGACAAAAGTCTTATGAGAAATGAAGTCATTCAGTCAATCTGTATCCCCAAAGTGAAACTCAAACCCAACATTTTACAAGTATTTCCTGACTATAACTTCCACCATGTGCTTCTTTAAACAGCTGGAGGGAGAAGACTAAATTTGGTCTATCTCGTTTTTCTTATACTTTATCAAAGGATCAAAAGCAAAACACAATTATAAATATGTACATCCTAACTGGTCATTAGTTTATCGCAAATAAATGCTGATTTGCCTAATCAAAGAGAATATTCTTCTAAAATAAGAGCAGTATTTCAATCAGCACATATGTTTCCTAATGACACTTAGCATCCAGACTCTCTTCACATGCACATTTCATAACCTTTCAACGACAATCTTCTAAATCACATTTTAAAGAAATACGCTAAAAAAGCATTCCACTGCAGTAGCCTTTTACATTACTAGAAATCCAAGAGGTTCAATTTTTAATGCCCACGTACTTATCAGAAAGCCACTGATCATTTACTCTGATTTCCTATCAATGCTTTACTGAAGTATATCACAAAGGAACACAAGATAATGCATTTCTTTGTCTACTAAGTGAGACAATGCCCACTTGCCCAGTCCTCTTTTTACTCAACTTGCACACCATCAGCCAGCTTTCCTGTTAGTGATTCCTCGCACTTTATCTGCTGCTTTAGCATTAAGCCATTTACCATTTCTGGTCCAGAATCCATTAAGAAAATTCCTGTTACAAGCAAGATCTTTGAAATGTAGCTGTACACCTATAAAAGAGCTGTCTAGTACCCAACTTGAAGGAAAGAAGATGAATTTCTCCTCTGTCTTCTAGGGTTTTACTTATTTTATAGAGCCACACCTTTATAAACAAGTTCTGTCATACTGAGAGGAAGGAGATATACAAAATGTAACACCTGGAGTCATAAAATGTAATGACCTCAAATAACCCATCTCAGAAAGACAGAGGAAGCCTGGTTCTGGAGAAGAAAGAACAGAAGCAAAGGAGCGAATCTACATCATTAAAACAGGAGTAATAGAAAACCCTCCTGGGTTTTTCCAGCAAGTTGTGTGCAGCAGAAGCAGCAACAACCTAATCGATATGCATATCCTCACCCTTATAAAACCTCTTGTCCCCAAACAGAAACTGCCGGTCCCTCTCCAGCGTGTCCTCAGGGGCAGAAACCACCACAAAGGGAGGAGATTTCAGAGGCGTAGGGAGGGGCAAAAACAGGTCTGTGTAGCTCCAGCATCCTCATCTTAGTCCCAGCTACAAGCCTGAAAGTCTATTCAGGGACCAGCCCCTGGCTGGTAGGCATCCTCTGGCCTGGGCCCTCCCCGAGAGCTGCCAGAGAGCTTGGGGAGCTTGCAGCGCAGTTTTCAGACTCCCAACAATGATTCCGCCAACCCACCCCTCCCCATGCCCTCACTCCAAGACCCTTGCTTTCTAACCCCTTAGGGAGACCTCTTTGGGGTTGGACAAGAGATGCTTGGTGGCCAAGAGGAGACGTGTGGGCTTCTTTGCCAGAATGAAATGCTGGGGGTGGTCACGGAGAGGAGCTCTTTAGGAAAAACCAGGACATGGGGCAACCGAAACCTCAGTTATCTGTCACCCTCACTCCCGTCCCCCACCCCCACCGCTTGCTTTAGAGATGACTTCTGAAGCTGGCGGTGACAACACCTTGGCGGCCGGGATGGGGGTGAGAGCGAGCCCCCAGGCCACCGCAGCCTCTCCAAAGGGACAGCGAAGGTGGGCTCAGCCTCGGAAGGTCAGGGAGGCCCGAGCTCAGAGTTACCCGGGGCCCGGAGAGCGTGTGTGAGGGTGACCATGCGCGCTTGCCGGGCCGAGGGGCGCTCGGCGAGAGGGTCAGTGCGGTCACGGGGGCACCCTAGCAACCAAGGAGAGACAGCACCCCTTAGGCGACAGGGCAGGAGGGGCTATCGGAGCTGCAAGACTGAGAAACTTGATGCAAAACAGACAGGCTCCCCCCGTCAGGACATGCCCCCGCACTCTCAGACCCGCTCCAACGCCTCCCGAATCGCCCACCATCGCGCACTCCACCCTGCAAAAATCCCCCCGAGCCCTCGGATCCGAGACGGGTCATTACCTCTCCCGGAGGCGGAGCGGGGGGCGACAGCGGCAGCAGCAGACACTTTTAGCCTGACTTTCCTGCGTTCGCGTGTGAGCGTGTGCGCGCCGAGCGGGAGCTGTAACCTGCTATTTATAGACCCGAGCCTCAGCACGCGGGGCTGGGAACCCGGAGGACGCGAGCGGGCGGCGGCGGCGGCGCAGGGCGCGGGCCGCGCTCCCCCAGGCTCCCGCGGCTCC